ATATATAAACTTTCATCTCCTTGAACAGCTTGTTCCAGTTCAGTGTTGCAGGGAGCTGGTGCCTATCTCCAGTTGGACCAGCGTATGTGCCAGAAGGACACATAGTGACAAATATCCCTTCACACAGAAGGATTTAGAGCAGCCAGTTAACTTAGTGTGCATGTTTTCAAAATGTTGGAAGAAATGGGAGTGCCTGATGAAAACCCACACATGCAAGGAATAAAACATGCAAACTCCATGCAGAAAACACCCAGCCAGGAGTTAAAACGGCAACTTTTTGCTGCGAAGCAACACTTCTAACCAACTGGATCACCATGCAAACCCATCAGGAAAGGCTCTTTCTAAACACCATAGAACTGATCATAACTCCTCTGTGCCTGACTTTCCTTGAAGTACCAGACTGACTCTGTGATGATCAGATCAAAGTTGTATACTGAGATCTCACGGTCACTGTCCTGTGAGTTTTGCAACTGGATATGCTCAAGTATTGCTTTAGACAGAAAAACTCACTTGTCAAACAAAAAATAAATAAAAATGTCTAATTTGAAATCATAGCAGTATTTAACATATTTTATGTATTTTCTAATCAGTGAATTTCTTTTTAGGATTAAAATAAATTGGTTAGTTTAAAAAAAACAAAAACGCATACTGTGACCTTCCACTTTAAACACATTTTGTTGCTGTTTTGAAGAGGATCTAAGCAAAGATAGCTGCTGTTTTAAAAGAGGGACATCTTGTGCTGATAGTTAGTTATTACATGTGACTTTTAATTTAGATCTTTATAATGGAACGTGCCACTCAGTTGTATTGCTTTTATAAAATGTCCTCCTACACATGAAACTGATAAACACACTAAAGTTCTTCAACACACTATGGGAGCTCTTGTTGGTGCTGTGTTCATTTAACTGTAAATATACATTTCTCATGGTTTAATAGTAAATGGACTGTATTTACTTTGTATATAGCACATTTCTATCTTATCAAGATACTTAAAGTGCTTTACACTACAATCTGTGCCCTCATTTACCCATTCATACAGCACTCTACTAGATCTATACAGAGAATAATCAGCGTTTTATCACATTCATACACCGATGGGACACACATTGGAGGCAATGAGAGGTTCAGTGTCTTGCCCAGGGACACTTCAGCAGCATGTGACTGCTGGTGGAATCGAACCCCAACTCTTGCATTGGAGGACGACTGCTTTAACCACTCAGCCACAACGGCCCCAGTAGTGAGAATAATTAACCTGCATGCCTTCTCCTCTTTTTATAATGTATCATTTTGGCCAAATATCTCACTGTCAGTACCAGGGGTGTCAAACTCACTTACAAATGTGGGCCAAAATTAAAACCTTTTTCAAACTAAGAGCCAATTTCAGAAACTACATTAACTCAAATCAGATACCCAACATCTTTTCTTGGTCACAGGTTCCTCAGCAAGAGTTTGATTGGCCTCATTTGATCTCTGTTGTGCTTTTGATGTCACAATCAAAGATTACTGAAAAGATTCAAGAGATAGAAGTATTTTACATTTCTCATATCATCTTGGGGGCCAGATATCAACGAGGGCCACGTTTGGGCCCCAGGCCTTGAGTTTGACACATATGGTATAGTATGATGAAGACAGATGTAGCACTCAGTTATGTAGGAATGTTGTTACCTCATAGTTTGCTTCTGTTCCAGGGAGAATTGTCTGATAACTGAGCTGTCAGTTTATAAAAGAGTTAAAAACTTAACAGAAAAGGTTATATATTATTACAGAAATTTGCCTGCAGGACGTGATGTTTGCTCTTTTCTGCTCAGTTGCTTTCTATAAAATAAGATACAAGTTACTTTTTTTTTTTTTTTTTTGCGTAGTTTTACTTTAAAAGTGTGAAAATGTCTTTCGTGGACTTCCTGACCATCAGAACAGTTTTTAATATCGCTCTGCAAATATCCATGCAGAAGTGATCTTTTGTGCAGAAGCTCTCATCTCTGCAGAAGATCTGCCCCGTTCCATCGCGTCTTGGTTGTTTCTCCGATTAACGTTCTCCTGGTCCGGTCTGTGAGTTTTGGTGGACAGCCTTCTCTTGGCAGGTTTGCTGTGCTGGCATAATCTTTCCATTTTATAATAACTGAGTCAGTAACGCTCAGTGGGTTGGGTAGCAGTAAAGGTGTCTTCAATGCTGAGAAATACAAGCTGCAACTTTGACAGCACGCAGTACTACCAGGGAGGTGTCTGATTGGTCCAAAACTTATCCCACAGTGGAACAATGACCCTGAACACACACAGTTTTTATTAGGAGCAGAAGAAGAACAAAAACCTGGAACTTCAGCATTTCTTCTTTATTTTCATATGTTTACATAAATGACATGTTATATAAATAATTTATGCATAATATATATTTATAAAATGACATGTAGCATTTAATTTTGAAAATTTTAAACCACAAGAATTGAGGTTAAACCACAAGTGGTATCATTGTGTTTATTCTTTCCAATTGGCAGCTTTGTTGCTAAAAGGTATTTTTGTTGCCACACTGTGTTTCTCGGTGTTTGGTGTCCTAATCAAACTAGATTTGTCTGCATGGGCTCCATAAAAGTCATCAGCAGCAAATACAGATTCCTCAAGACTTGTTAAGAGTCGTACGAAGTTTTAAAACAACCTGTGCTCGTTTATATTTTTTACAACTTGTTTTTTTATTTTTCCCATCATTGCACAGATTTTTTTTCTTCTTACTGTCGTTGTCTCATCCTCATGCAGACAAGTTGAGCACCTCATCTATTTTCCAATACTTTTTTTTTTATTCATACAAAATACCATTACAGTTTGAAACCATTTAGTCACTAGCATGCCAAGTAAAGGAAGCTTTTCTTGTATCGTTGATATGTTTAGATGTAATAAACACGTGAAGCCACACAGAGGCAGTAAACCTTTAAAGTTCAGAGAATTTTCTTTCTCTACTTGCTTGGAGCTTTTTGTTTTACATTATTGCACATGTTAGGGTAATGACAAATCTGTGTGAAGTTCTTCTCCCACAGATGTTTCCATGGGTCTTCTCGCAGCCTGTTCAAAGAAGGCAGGATCTGTCCTCAGGATGAAAAGAGCTGGAAGGAATTTTAAGAAAGTCTGCGCGTAAATTGATATAATCTGTTTTTTTCTTTCTGAGAGGATGTTTTCTTTGCATTAAGTTACGAGCTAAAACTTTTTAGTTGTGCTGAACTGTACACCTCCTTTACGAAGAATTCAAACTGTCTCCCGAGGAAGTGGGAATTTCAAGTCCTGACAAGACATCATGTGGGAGGTTTGCAAGCAGGCTGGTTTCCAGAACCTCTCAAGGCTTTTCAGGCAGCTTCTCACACATATAAAAACAAGTTAATATTAAAATTGTGCTCTAGGTTTAGAGTTACCCAAACTTTAATATGAACAGTATGTGCACGCTCATCTAAGCAACAAGAATTAGGTTTTAAAAAGTGAGCATCATAATTGGTTTTTGGAGTTATTTAAATAATTTCTTTGATTCTGATGCAAAATTATCCAAGAAATACAGACTGAGGAAAAGTTATGCATGTTGTTGCTTCATTCGTGTATAAATCTGTTTGAATTGTTTTCTGTAACCATTTCCTTTTTTTTTTTTTGTTGCCAACTGTTACTTCCCAGGTTTCAAAATATAAGCCTCTCCTGCATATTGTGCAATGTTTGATGGAAGTGTGTAGTTTATCGACGCCCCACTGACAACCCAACAGTACTTAGCATGCATGTTTTCCACCTTGAGTATTCATTTTGTTGCATTTTCTGGCCAACTGCACAATGAAAGCTGCAAGGGATCAGTTTAAAAAGTGGGCTCGGAAAATGTTGTGTGGATCCTCACTCAGCTAAAGTCTTTAAAATTACAACAAGATTTCTAGCACTGTATCATCTCACAAACTGGCTGTTAATACCCATTAAAAAAAAAAAAAATCATGCTATCTGACTGTTTTTCTCATAAACTCATTTTTTCAGCCGTCCAAAGATGGCCTTGAAGAGCAGCTAATGTGCTTTTCTTTTAGTCGTTGTTAAATGAACTGATTTGTTTGCAGGATTTTCAGAGAGTACTTCCAAGATTGGTAGGAACAATGATGCTAGCCCATTTGTAAATAACTGGAATGAAAAGTAAAGCAGAACCAAGAACGGACACCAGAAGGAAAGCCCACAAAAACATTCGATCCAGGACCTGGGCAACAAACTTCCAGTCCTGCACCACCTGTAACAGAAACAAATTAATGCCAGACCTTAAAATATCCTCAACAGACAGAGAAATGTTTGTTTAGGCCAGATCTAAATAATCTGTGTGATTCGTCAGTTTCCATCAGCGATTTGTGATGTTCATGTTGTTTGCAATATTCTGTCAGTCAAAATAAATAGTTCAAACTTACCTCTCGGACTTGATTTTCTTTAACTACATGCATGGTTATGTAGCGAATAGACTCCAAAGCTGCTTGGAGGTTGTGCTGGGTGAAGAGGGGTGGTCTGAACTCGGGTCCTGGCTCCTGCATCCTTCTTGCTCCTTCGGTTCTTCCTGCTCCGGCCACTCCAGCTGTTGCGTAACGGTCCACATGGCTGCGCATGCACAGCAGTTTAGGTAGCCGATGTAGGAAAATTCTTCTCACCCATGGTGCCATGTTAGTATGTGTGGAAGAAGAGCGATGGTGGATGTTAATGGCGAAAACAGTGATGACAATGGAGAGTGTGACAAATATCATGGTAAAAACCAAGTACTCCCCGATGAGAGGGATTGCCTTCGAAGAGGACGGGATGATCTCTTCAATGACCAAAAGGAAAACGGTAAGTGACACCAGCACTGAGGTGCAGAGAGAGATTTTCTCACCACCGTTTGAGGGTAGATAGAAGACAAGAATGGTGAGGAAGGACAAGCCGATGCAAGGGATGATGAGGAAGAGGGTGTAGAAAAGAGGCAGCCTGCGAATAATAAAGAAGTAGGTGATGGTGGGATAGAAAGTGCTGCTATCAGTTCTCAGACCACGGCTGCCTGTGGCCTTCACTATCTCCCATTCACCATTGTCAAAATAGTCCTGCTTGTCCACATGGAAGTCCTCCAGGATGATGTCCACCTGTTAAAACACAGCAAGGAATCTCATGGCAGAAACTTGTCATGATGGATGCTTGTACACTATGGACACTTTGGATGTAGATACTCACCTGGGAGCCATCGTAGGTCCAGGATCCGAACTTCATTGAACAGTTCTGGAGGTCAAAGGGGAAGAAGGTGACATCAATGGTGCAGGCTGACTTGTAGTTGGCTGGTGGAGTCCATGTTATGGTGCCATCGTACTTAACAACAGCCTTGGTGATGGTCCCTTCAAAACGTCCATCTGAACTGTTGACAGAAATTTGCCCGGGTTTCAGGTGTTTTATTGTCCATGTTCTTGCTACTTCACGCAATGCTACAAGTTTCTGTAAATATTTAGAAGCTTTTTTGATCAAGTCCCACATGATAATAGACATGGAGCAAAAGCATTCTAAGGTTCTAGACAAGGGGTCTGTAACCTGCGGCTCTTTGATTCCTCTGCAGAGGCTCTTTGACCAAAATTAACATAAAAATGAAGTTTATTGGTTGTTGTACTAACAAGAAATGGCTAGTTTTAGCAGTTTTCCAGTCATTTCTTTTGCCAACATGTGAATGATAGTACTAACACAAGGAGTACAACTTGTTGACTACATCATGCTAGTAGTTTGTTAGCCACTTCTTTTGGATCACTTCCAGCCTTACTGTGTGATCTTTTTCTCAAATCTACCAATTTGTTTGGCAGAATACCTTTAAGGCAAGTTGCTGAGAAGAAATATGGTAGTCAACTTGATAACAATAAAAATTAAAGAAACAATGAAGTCAAAGTAAATGGAAGTATTTATTTTCATTTTAAAATTCAATTATGTGTCCATCAAACTGGCCTAATGTTTAACTTTATGCTTTATTACTTCATAACAGGATACTTTATGAATTGTTTCCACAATTAAAAAGAAAACACACACAAGCCTGCATATTTGTTTGAATTTTTATAAAA